CATCTTGGATCACCCCTGTTTTGAAAATGAGTTTCTTAAAGTATGAAACATAACTTTGAAATTTTTCTATTTTTTTTTCATTAGCATCAGTATCATTCATTAAATATCACGTATTCCTTTTTGCATATCTTTTGAAGAGTAATTTTATCTCCAACAACAAAAGAAGTATTCAATTAACTTCAACACAATGCAGAACTATAACCTTTTTTTCCTTTCCTGCCAAGTAGTTATGAACCAGGTGTGTTCATTTATCAAGTGATCCTTCTTAACCTCCTCTCGGCTTGGAAAATGTTTTTAGAAATACTATGTGAAAAAAACAACAACTTAAAAGCCAGGGAAATGAATAAGCCCCCAAAAAAATCTTCTAAGTCAGAGATGTGATAACACTACATGAAGTGTAGGTCTTCTTGCCTATAGCAAAAATTAGTAATCTTGTGGAAATCTGTATGATCAAACCCATGGAATGCTATCAATTGTATTTTCATGTTGTTATAGGTTTTTGGTATGGTTTTCTTGGCACTTGTGTATAATGTTAAAATAATATAGAAATAAATAAATCACACACAACATTAAAATAAATACACAATTAAAAACATTTTTAATTCAGGCCAACCTATGACCTCCAAAATTTTTGACTACATGTTTCATCATGATGTGAAATTTTCAAAACAGATTGATTTGAATTAAACATGTTTTTCATTGTATATATTTAACATTATGTGTTATTTATGTAATAGGCTGTGTTCTACTTGAAGTGTATGATCCATTTTTATGTACAACAGTTTAAGATAAACAAAGTAACTTACAATTTCTGAAAGAGAAGATGTGATAGGTTAGTGTAGCAAGAAGGGTCTGATTTTCCATTTTATGGCTCTGTAACCAAATAAGATTGAAGGCTATAAAAATTAGGCTATACCTGAGCAACGACAATATTATAATTTCATACTTTTTGGAGGGAAGGTAAATTTAGAGATGATCCTGGAGATAAAATGTCAAAATCCTCATATTAGGAGAAATTCAGGTATTTTTTTTGTTTTATATTGCCTGATATATTAAGAACTTAACTCATATAATGTTAAAATCTGTATTATTAGGTAATCTTTTTAAGTCAAGTTTATTCTTATACTATGAGAAGAAAATAGATTAATTAAATTTTGAATGTAACTCAGAAAAACCTCCTGACATGCACAGAAAATAATGCCCATAGTGAGAGAGTTAATTGATTAGCAAGTAACATTAATCACCCTCTATCTCCTCATGGCCTACTCTATGGGATGAGAATATGACAATGAGCAATCTAAACATGACTGGTGCATGTTTTAGACTACCTGGTTATGTTCATTAACTTGAATATTACAGTCAGATCACCTCTAATGTTTCACTCAGCCTTAGCTATTTCCACTACTTCACAACCAGTTTTTCAAACTGCAAAATGGCTAATACAATATCACTCTTCTGGGATATTACAATATTTGTGATCTTTGTTATCAAACTTTCGGTATTATTGTCTTTTTTTTTTTTAAAACACTATTATCATGCACAGTTCAGGTTGAAATGTTGTAACATACTCTACAAATTCAATTCTCTCAAGCAACTCATTATAAAATCTGATCTATGCTGCTGTGAAAAGTACTGTCTCTTCAGTATCCTTGCTAAAAGTAATTCATCTAAAACCACATCTATTACGGTAAACAATGTCTGTTAAAAAAAATCACCCTTTGGTATGATATCTGCTAACCCACAATTTCTATAAAGTCTTGTCACTGTTATATACAATTTTCTGACTGATTTTTCAAGGTTTTCACTTTGGCAATCATATGTAATTTTAACAGCTTTCTTAAAATCTTTTCCTTTGCACAAAAAAAAAATTCTGGAAATTCAAATAATTAGCAGCCGATCTTGTCAATCTACCAAAACCTGATCCAAAAGCTGTAGAAAAGTTTTTTGCATAAGGTCAAGTTTTTTTTGTACCTCTTCTCCTCTCTTTCAATTTTATTTTTGGCAGCTGAATTTCTATAGCAATTGCAATGCACTGCACTACTTTTTTTTAGGAGATCCTTCTTTTTAGCCCTTCCAGTCTTTATGACACACTAACAAAATTAGAATTCCAAACTCAAATCTATTTTTCACACTGAGTAGAAATGTTTCGTATGTACAAACATCTCTTGGTTTCCTCAGTTTGTTGTTCCTTTTTAACTCTCATCATTTTACACAGAGATCAAAATCACTTGCCTTTCTTTTGGCATGTACCTCACTCATCTCACTGATGAGTCCAAAAGTCCATAATATTAATAACTAATTATGAAAGCAAAATTCAAATGAAACAAGATAAAAAATGGTTCATTTACAGATCTCAACTGAATCCTTGTTTGTGAACTAAAAGTTCTTAACCATTAGTGACTTTTACAAGATTTGTTTAACAAAAATACGGGTGTTACTAGGAATGTATGTGTTTCCTGCCATTATGGTGCACTGAGATGGGATGAGCCCTCTCCTCAGGGAAGGACTTTGAGGTAAAAATGATATGGATATTTGACTATCATGATGGATTACACTAGGGCAAGGCTTGATCAAAATTTATGTAAGAGTCAAAGAGATATAACAAATTGTTGATCTTTTAGTAAGGTTGATGCAGGCCAAACCCAACACAAATCAAGGTTTTAGACCAACAAAACATTTTTATGCCTAGGCTATGCTGTGTTGAAAACCATCTACTTAACACTTTTGCAATAGGTTTGTGTATTTTACTTGACCTCGTAACCATGAAGGTATATGTACTATAGCTCTGAAAGTACGTAATGAAACTTCATGAAATTTGATAAGGTTTCAGTAAACATTACAATTTTTAGTCAAGTATTTTTACAAAGATTTGTTTATAAATATAAGGAGTCAGAATGCTGACTACTCCAAGTGCAAAGTAATTTTCATCTTAAAATTAAAAATATTCTTATATCTCTGAAAATTTTCAAATTTCATTTGCAAAATCTCTAACACGTCCTATATAAATATCAAACCTTTTTCAGAAAATTTTTATCTACCATAACTCTATATAGAGTCAGTCAATTTAAACAATCTCATAACCACTATATAAAATTAGGAAATAAACTTGAAATACCCAATTTTATTTCTAGAATGATTGACAACCACAATTATTTATCCCAAATAGCTTAAATCTCGTAACAGTGTAAATCTATTCATACTTAATTTTATTGTTTTATTGGCCTTTGAATGGTGTCAATAATCCCACCATGAAAGTTGTAAATCACTTAAATATATTGCTCACATTACTATATCAAAGTATGTAACGTACAAGCTGCTTTCAAGCATACTTCGTGAAGAATGTTTACTATTATTTTTTTCATTATCTTACTTAATCTAACATAGTAAGTATCTTTTAACATTTTAGTTACTTTTATACTAACAAATAAAGAATACACATGAAAAATAGACATATAGTACTATCTGGGTCTTTGTTTTTGCTGTCAACTGTAGACAAAACTTAGGCCTTCTTTTTATACTAATGGTACTACTACACTAGATAATTTGTTAATTAATTAAATACACCTAAGAACACATAATAATAACACAAAAAGTTAGCATTTTCCTACACTTAAAATGTCTTTCCGATAGATACTTACCTCTACTCACAAACTAGCTTTTCTCTGGACTAGCATTGCCCTCTATTGGCATAAATTTTTAATGCATGCCACAAGCCTTACACCTACCACTTCTGCATATCCACATGCAAATGATCATGCAGCAGCTCTTCACCAATAAAAGCACAACACCATAACAAGCACCCTCTTCACATCTGCACTCGTTAATCAGTTTGAGATTGTTCAGAAGACCTACACCATATATATCATTGGAAATGGGGAGGCTGGGTGGGAAATGTGAGAGGAGGTAAGAATCTATCAGAAATACATTTTAAGTGTAGGAAAATGCTAATTTCTTACCTCCTCTCACAAAATAGCTAGAATACCACATTTGGTAGAGAAGACAAGCTTCCATACCAAAGTCAGTCTCCACTTGTGTGCATTTCCAACACAACCACCACCAGATCCACCAGGAACCAAAATCCAGCAGACGGTTGGAAGGTGGAAAGTTCCAGCACCTGTCCAAAACCTGAGAGCAATGGGTATGATACTTCCAGTCCATGGTATAGGAGGATATTTGGCTGTACACAAGTGGGAAAACATGCTGCATCCAGCTACAACCAACACCATATCTGCTGGGAACTGACATCCATCAGATGGTAGGAAGAGGGACTGCAAACCTGGAGTACATCCCCAGTCCAAAACCTGGTGGCAGTGGGCATTTGTCCTACAGTCAGCAGTAAGAGGAGGGATACCGGCCAGCATACATGTGAGGACTTACTTAGCTGGACCATCCCCAACCGACACCGAACCCACTGGGAATGTACATCTGGAGGATGTATATATATGTTTGTGGCATGGCAGAGTGCTTCAACCAAAACCTGGCAGCGTCTGAAAATGTATATCAGGTTTAAGTTAGGAAGGGCATCACACCATCTACACACGATACTTATCGCGATTGGGCCATCTCCAACCAAAACCAGACCCACTAGGAATGTACATCCAGAGGATGGTAGGAAGGAGGAATGCCATGGTAGGAAAACAAAATAGGTCAGATATATAAACAGGAATACGGTGTAGAGTTACAACAAAAATCTGGCGGCATCTGGAATTGTACATCACGTCTGCTGTAGGAAGTACAATATGCCAGGAAAACATGCAGAATGCCACTGTCCTACTATCAACTGAGTGGTATGATACATCACTCAGGAGGTCCAGCCTGCATGGTCCACCATCTCAGCAGATAGGAACTGGTAAGTGGTAAGGACTCCCATACTTCACTAGAAGAAGTGGGGAAGCGTATTGGAGGACTGCATCACCGAAGAGAGTGCAATGGGTGACCGTAATACCCTATTGTGAAAAGCAAAGCTACCATGTCAATCAACCAAAACCTGGTGATATCTGGAATTTTACATCAGGGTCCACGGTAGGAAGGGCTACAACGTAATTGACATCAAGCATGGTCATAGGATGGACAGTGCAGATTTAAATAAAAAAGTATACCTAGTCAATCATCACTTGCCATAGACTAGGATCCACAATACATTAGCAAAAATCCCCTGAAAATGTAAGAAAAGTTTGAAAAAAAAAAAAAAGCAACTTTTCTCGACACCAAAACATAAAAATTTAAATTAGTTAAAAAAAAAACTAAGTCAGTAGTATAATGCAAAACGTTGACAAATCTGTGAGCAAAAACCAGCATGTCTGTACGTACTACTGCCAATTATGAAGTGATAATAAGTTCAGACGTGAAGAGGTCACTGGTTACAATAGGAGTGGTGTTGCGCTCCTATTGGTGGAGAGCTGCTGTATGTGGATATGCAAAAGCCAGAGGTTGAAGACTAGTGGCATGCATTGAAAGTTTGTGCCAGAAGAGGGCGGTGCTAGTTGAGAAAAGCTATTTTGTGAGAACAGGTAAGATATCACATCGGAAAACAATGTCCTATGACTATCAGAATTTTCTGGCTTTTTAATGATGCAATAACAGCTAAGATCGTTGATGTAATTTCCGTGTAAACATATTTGAAACTGAATGAAAAAATAGACAATACCCTGTACAGAAAGCAATGCAATATAGAAAATCTTTTGATAGATTAAAACCTTGGCTTTCTATTGGTTATAAATAATATAGTAAAATGCACCAGAGAGAACTGTTAATAACTTGTGAAAAAGAGGATGTGACAAGTGTGTCTGATTTTTCTAGTTAATGACTCTGTAAACAAATAAGATTTGAGGCTATAAAAATTATGTTTTGCCTGAGTAATATCTATATTATAATAAATAATTTACATTAAATTCTGTACTTCTTGGAGGGGTGGTAAATAAATTAGAAAAGAGGGAAGACCTAGAGAGCAAATGTCACAATTCTCAAACTAGGGGAGATTGGGGAATTTGTATCATATTTCCTTATAAAATTAAGACGCAAATTTATATAATATTAAAATTTGATTTATTAACTATGTTTTGATGCCAAGTTTATTTGTATATATTGATAATAAAGTAGTTAATCAAATTTTGAAAGTTACTCTGAAAAAAGGTTGTGACATGTGCACTATGACCTACCCAAAGTGAGGTTTTAACTCAAATCTTTGCTTACATCTACTTGGGTAGGAAAACATGGAACTGAATTATTTTCTTCATTTGTTTAAGTAGCCCAGTAAAATCTCATACATTTACCACTCATATAAGCATCTGATTAGTGATATAACTACAGAAACTTTCCTTCAACCAGAAGCATGTGTTCCTTAGACAACTTGTCACCCATAAGCAGCATTTCTGGGAGTGATTTCTTATATCGTGACTTAAAATGTTAAATGATGTTCCACAACCAGCATTTTCTGACTCCTGAAGTCTAAGCTGCATTTCCTGTTACTTTATGGCATTAAGTTCAGAAATGTTGGGTGAAACTATCTGACAAAATGTTTTACAAATTACTATCTTAAAAGGGTTGATGGAAATCAAATGAAATCTTACTTTGATCTTGATAATGAAGCTTCAGTCATTAGAATATGGTTTCTAAAAGTTTGGTAGTATAAAAATTACCATCAATAAACATAAAAAATGTCAGTCATTTTAAGTCCCAGATGGCAGCCATATGAAGACCAATATTATGGACATTTTTAAATTCAGGATGACAACTAAGATAAACTTTGACCCTAAAAATGGGAGTACAGCCTTCAGAACAAAGTTTGTCGGGGTTTAGAAGTCAAAATATAATACAAGTTGTAAAAGAAAGCCATTTTGAAATTCAAGATGACAGCCATCATGGTGGTAAAAAAACATTCAGTGTTTTTTGTTTTTTTTTGCTGGAGTTATTAGAATATGTATTAAAAATTAATAATATTGTACAATAAATACATATGAGTCTCAATCTTGTTACAATCTAATGGCAATTTTTAGGAAGAAAATTATATTAATTTGTATTTTCAAGATGTTACATTTAATTTCAATATTAAATCATAAGTTACATAATATTAATGACTTTCTGTACAGAACATATTTTCTAGATAAGATAAGGAATATACCAATGGTTTCATCCAAAATAAGTAAGTATGGATATTATTCTTGCTAGTCCTTCTTACCTCTAGTTCCCATAAAATCTGCTTCATCTCGAAATGAAGGAAAGTTTTCAATTATCAGTTTCAAAAGTTTCTGAGCACTTTCCTCACACTGATTAATACAATTAACAAAAGAGCCTCCAAACCTCTGTAAAATAAGAAGAATGCATACAGTGCATACAGTTAGGACAAGAGAATATTTTATCAATCTTTCCATTTTATGGGGCTAATTCTTCCATGCCATTACAGATTGTAAATTTCAACACTATGGTAATGCTTCACTGATCTCTATTGACAATTGAATGAGCCAGGGTGAGAATACTTATCATTATTTAGAATTCCAATATACTTGTACAAAGAGCATGTCATAAGGGTTCTACTTGAATGAACATACTGATCAAATTTAGGGTATGAATTAACTGTCATGGTATCCCATGCAGTGTCTTAACTATATAGAAAGAAGCTAGCAAGGAGTGAGCATATGGTATCAGTATATGCTAGAAGAAATCAATTTAATAGCACTCCACAAATAAACCTTGATTAAAACAGTGTTTAACACTATATATTAAGTTTTGTTGTCATGCCACCAAAAAGCGTAGAGAATTCTTAGTAGAGCAGAGAGTTCCAATAAATGCTTTACATGATGCTGGTTAGACTCTCAGACACAATTACTGCACACTTGAAGTGCTCCCCAAATACTATCAAGTACACCCTAGATCGTGAGACTGAGATAGGCAAATTTGAAAACAGGAAAGGAAAATGCAGAACATCTAAACTCAATGATACTGATGTTAGGTATCTTCATTTATGCAGCCTTCGGGACAGAAGGAAGACTGCCACTGATCTCAAGCATAAGATAAACGACCATGTACCAAATGACAGAAAAGTGTCCAGATCTGCAGTATCAAAAAGACTCAAAGAGAATGGAATATTTGGTCGTGTAGCAGTTAAAAAATCTTTACTTCGATCTCCAACTATTGTCAAGAGACTGTAATTTGCTAAAACGAACAAAAACTGGACTGTTGGTTATTGGAAAAGGGTGTTATGGACAGATGAGTCCAAATTTGAAATATTTGGTTTAAAGCATAGGTTGTATGTCCGGTGGAAGAAAGGTGATAGATAGTTACCTCAATGCATAGCACCTACATGAAACATGGGGGAGGCAGTGTGATGGTTTTGGGGTGTTTTTCTGCTAAGGCGACAGGAGATGTTTGGAAAATAGATACAATAATGGACCAGCGCAAGTACCATCAGATACTGATCCATCATGGTATACCCATAAAAATGAGAAAAGAAATATAATGAAAAGTAAATTTTTTGGCAACAAGATGCAAACCATACACTCTTGGATTCACAACAGTCCAGCACACTAACCACAGTCAATAAAGGCTCAGGAAATAGACGCTAATACTGTAGGAAAGGGCAAAATGTAAATGGCTATCAAATCCCAAAACACAAGAAAATGGCTATATTATGGGGTTTTATGATCGCTCTGAAGTACACCCAAACAGATGATAGCTGCTTTTTTGTATAGATAATGTATTACAACTACAAACCTCAAAACCTGACAAATATGTCACCAACAAAATCATCTCTTCATATATTGAAATTCATCTTGTCATTATCACAAATCAACATTCTAATTGCTGCTATTATATACTATATTTTTGATATAAACCCATTTTCTTACTTTCTTTAAAGCAATGCACCTCTTTGTTGCAATTAATTATCAGTAATTCTCTTGCTACTGTAGGTGAAAAAAACAGGCCTCTAATGTCATTAACATAATCCTGTCAAATACACAATACAATTAATATTAGTTAAAATTAAACTAAAATCCACACTTTTCTAGAACTCTGATGCAAAGACTGTGATACTAATTTTGACATTTTCACATGCCTTCCTTGATTGAACAGTGTGTCACAAAGAAAGTGCTGAAAACAGCATCCAAGTCTTTATGTCACAGTTAAAAAGTGTGTATTTTAGTTTAACTCATTTCCTAGTTCTTCTTATAGTAAATATAAATCTTCATTATTATATCCACCATAAAACTGTTACTGCAATAAACTTAATTAGTTGTTAACCATAAAACTGTTACTGCAATAAACTTAATTAGTTGTTAATCATAAAACTGTTACTGCAATAAACTTAATTAGTTGTTAACCATAAAACTGTTACTGCAATAAACTTAACAACTAATTAAGTTTATTGCAGTAACAGTTTTATGGTTAACAACTAATTAATCATAAAAGTGTTTCTATATTTCTGTCATAAATTCACCAATGTTTCTGCAAACATAAAAACAGCCTATTGTTGTCTGTAGAAGTAACCATCTTCTTTTCAATATTACTTTTTACCTTTTAATAAAACTAATTATTTATCCTTTACCAACCTTAATCAATACTTTGCCAACTTCATGTGCTACTTGAAGTCTTTTTTCAAGCAAAGGCATTTCAATCTCTGTATCTGATCGGAAAATATATTTTAACTGTTCCTCTGTCATAATACTGTAATACTTGGGATCACACAGTGGTATACCTTCCTGGAAGGAAAAAAAGTAAATACTGGAAATTGGTAACAATAATCAACTAAAACATTTGAAACCTTTATTATTCATTAGAATAATGAATCTTTGTTCTAAAAAAAACGTTTTTACAACCAACACTCCCATTTTATTCCTCAGTAGAAATGATTTTTGTAAAACCTGAGCTTTTACAGGCTAGTATTTCCATAGACACATTCACAAAATGACCCCTACTTCCCTCAATATCTTTAACAGTAACAGCAGTGATTGAGGTCTAAAACCCTTGACCTTACAATCTCATGTAAAAAAAAATCATTTAAGAGTTATTATTTAGTGATTTAATATTTAATGATTATTTAGTTTTCATAAAAAGTGTGTGAAAAGTTAATTATTTGAAAAGCAATAGTTAGGACAAGTTTCATTACGTAACTCTGTATGAGTCATGCTGTGAATGTAGTTTAATTGTTGTTCTAGGCATTTGTAATACTGTTGACATCATATTACTCAAAGCTTCTAAGTTCTCATTTTGTTTGATATTGTTCTTACTAGAGGACTAAGTATTTCTAGATTTTTCTGTAACGTGTGATAAATATGTGCAGATACAGAAGTTAAAGTAAGTTAAAGAAAGTAAAAGTGAAAAAAGTGAAAACAGTTTAGCCATAAAGAGTGTATAGTGGTGACTTTTAAAGTGTTATTATCACAGATTGTATTGTAAGAAACAGAGTAAAGAAGAAGAATTTGTCTTGTCAATTGGGTTCTGAAGTAACTCAACCAGCCCATGTGGATTTTTTGACATAAAAGAGAATTATCTGCAGATACAACTGTGGTAACCCACATAATAACGTAAGTGAATTTATCACTGATTCTATTGTGATAAAAGAGTAGAGAAGAAATAATTTCTCTTGTCATTTGGTTTCTAAAGTAATTGAACCAGTCTATGTGGACTTTTAACATAAAAGAGAATTATTTAAAGCTCTAGATTCAAATGTGGTAACCAATAGTGTAATGATTTTTTTTTACATATGTTTGACTTGTTTTGACTACATTATTTTAAAACAAGTGGATTTTATGCTTATTGTTGAAATTATCGCTAATAAGTCAGATTGTAAAGAGTCTGGCCCCCCATAAAACTGATACAGATTAAAACTCTCTTTCTATTGGTTATAAATGATATAATACATATAAATATCAGAGAGAATTCTTGGCAATTTGTGAAAAACACGATGAAACAAGTGGACATGGCAACTGGTTCTGATTTTCTACTTTCTGTCTCCATAAGCAAAGATTGAAGGCGAAAAAAATTACACTTTGCCTTAGTAATATCTGTATTATAATGAACAATTTACATCGAACTCCACACTTCAGAGAGGGGTGATAAATTAGAGAATTAAGAAGACCTAAACAAATATCATGCATGGAGTGTTGAGGATTTATTTAAATATTTCTTTTTAAAATTAAGAAATTAAATCACATATAATATCAAGATTGGATTTATTAACTATGTTTTTATACCAAGATTATTTGTATACATTGATAAAGTAGTTTAATCAAAGTTTTAATGTAACTCTGTAAAGGTTGTGACATGTGCACTTTGACCTACCTGTAGCAAAAAGGTTAAATAAATTCTCAATCTTCACTTTTTATTATCACATGACACTTTTTCAATCTGCCCATTTTAGACATACTACAAACCTCTATCTAATCTTCTAAGTTTTAATAAGATTCACACTTCAGATTTTTTCCAAATTAAATATATCAACTTTTTGTCTCTAATCTTCTTTAGTAATTTAGTTTTATTTAGTATTTTGTTATTTGGTGGTTACAATATTAGTCAAATTTACTGAGGCCAATACAGTTAGTGTTAGGACAGAGAAATAACAGATAAAATATGATGTTTTATTGAAAGAAACTTCTGATATTCATTTAGGAGGTTCTAGAGGTTATGCAAATGAAACTTATTATTATCACATGACACTTTTTCAATCTGCCCATTTTAGACATTCTACAAAACTCTATCTAATCTTCTAAGTTTTAATAAGATTCACACTTCAGATTTTTTCCAAATTAAATATACCGACTTTTTGTCTCAAATTTTGTAAATTCAGAATTATAGCAAGGGTCAATTTTAATGGTCATCAGGGGGCAACCTAATATCCTATCGGTCACCTGCAGATAGTGGCCTGAGTTATCCTTTGGACAATTTCAAAAAATCTTTTTTGTGTAAGCTCTTTAGCAAGGCTTAAACTATATATGGTCAAGTGCATGTCATAACCTTTTACAAAGTTACATTTAAAATTAAGTTAAACAACTATATTACCAATGTATGTTAACTGACTTGGCATCAAAACATAATTTATTATATAAGCTTTAATTTCTTAATTCAAAGGGAAATATCTAAAAAAATTGTACAATATTCATTCTTGAGTGTCACATGCTTCTCTACATTCTAAATTGTCCATTTTAAAATGTTCTTTACACCCCTAAAATGACCTTCAGAGTTTAAAATAACACACATACTGGTAGGTTAGACTTTGCTAAGACACAATTAATTCTTAAAACATCCAATCTTATTATTTTATTGAGATAAAAATGAGAAAGTTGACCCCGCTTGCCACACCCTCATGTCATAAACACCTTTTTCACCAAGTTTCAATAATTCTCTCTTTCTGTACTATTTACAATCAACAGAAATATATTTGAAAATTTTGAAATTCATTATAAAGCTAGATGTTCTTCCGATATTATAAGAGCTATTTTTGCAAAAATATTTTCTTCTGGCCTTAAATGAGATTATACTGTCCAGCAAAAAAAATTGTTATAAGTTATAGGTTAGTTTGAAAGTCAATAAAATTATAATAGTTATAAGACATTGTCTTCTTTGTGTATATTATTATTTTGTGTTCTAAGTTGTATATTTTAAATTAATAAAAATCCAGTAATGTACTAACCCAAATTCCTCCAAAAATAGGGTTAATTTTTGTCGAGACTTTGAGACTTCAACAACAAAAACATACAAGAGCCACACTTAAGCACTAAACCTTTCTTTATGACATATATATTCTTTATTTATTATTATAAAAATAATTAAAATGTAAAAATTAAAAACTTATTAGCTTAGATAAAAAAATTTAAGGAAAAAATATTAAATAAAATATTTGACAGCACAATCAAACAGGAGCATGTCACAAGTTTAACACTGTTGCAATTTGATCGTGTGCTTGTAAGTTGAAGTTGTGTTTACATAAAGCTAAATTAGTATGATATTAATCTATGGGGCGATAAAGTAATAAATCTAAATGACTGGGAGAATTGAGTTGTTTTAACTTTGGGTGTAAAAAGTAATAAAGTGATTGTCTGTTACAATGTATAGTCATTCTAAAAAGAAAAGTTATAATTTTTGTATACTGAAAATGTACTTCCATGGGGGTAGGATGAGGGATCCTAATTGAAGGGGTGAACTGCAATTTTGACGTCTCACTCCCATTTGTTTTTATGTTTCATATTGGAAGATATCACGTCATTTACACCTGCAAAACACCACCATCCAACTCTTAACTAAATGATTTTATAATCATTTCTATATTTTGTTTGTATTTCATTAACCCATTCAGGAGGATGCCTCCATAATCCACCACCCAAGTGGCATGGAAGTGGAAAGTGGTAAGGACTCTCAAACCCACTAGCAGAAAATGGGGGTAAAACGCAGTGGAGAGTCCAGAGGAATGACAATACCTGAGACAGTACAATGGGTGACCATGAAATCCTATTTTTTAAAAGCAGACCATATCAATTGAGGACTAGGATTGGGAATAGGAATAAGGGCTTGTCATGGTTCTGACTGCAACAAACGAGCTACCAAAGAGGAAAGGGTAGTGTGTTGATGCACAGACTCCACGTAATTTCAAAGTGTCAGGTACATGCTCGAAAACATACTACCGAAGAAAAGGGATCATATGTAAGTCCCTTAGATAAGTAAGCAGCACACAAACCTGGGACAAGGCCATATCACGACCCAACAACAGAGAAACCAAGTGTGTAAAACAAGAGCCGAAGACAACAAATGAGCCAACATGGAAGTAATAAGAGAGAGGCTATCCCTTGAAAAACCCTCAGGATCTCAGTAGGGATGGTAAATAAATACTGTAGAAGTAAAGTAAGGATAAGATGAAGTTGTTAAAACTGAGCATTAGTTGAATGCACAGGAAAATCAGGGACCACCTCACACACAGGTAAAATAGATCCCTATTGCTGAGAGTCGGGAAATGGACAATCAGCTTGATGGTAAGTTTCAAGTTGTGTAAACAGGAAACGTTGTTTTTAATTAATTATAATTTCAAACTAATATTCTTTTCTATACCTGAGAACCTTTTTTTTGCCAGATCAAAGTTTTGTCAAGTATCACCCACTTTCTCAGGACAGGAGTTTGAAAATTCATGGCAATAGTGAGAGCCATGTCCATGCTGTTCAGGTCACACTGAGAATGACTTCTTTCAAAAGAGCAGTGAGAATTATGAATTTCAAAGCTTTCAGCAGCAAACAGATTATTCTGTTCATGATCTACCATGCCTTTATCAAATATTGTTAGCCTTTCGTTGAGCATATCTGGCTATGCAGTCTTGATGAGAAAAAAAAAGGACTAGACATAAAGGCAATGTAAGAGACAGACACAAATTGTAGAAAATTTAAAGTTATTGTTACATATCTGCTTGTTTGTTTGTTTCTGGTAGAAATTATTTCCGAGGATCTTCAGCAATACAAGTTCTTTCTTGATTAAACCAGTT